GAATGGGAATGAGGAAAAGTAACGATGTTGAACTTAGGGAATGAAGTTTTCTTATTTGGATACGTAGATCGCTTAGAAAGAGTGGTCTGATGTTGTTGGTTAAACGTTAATGATTGATAGCATCGTTAATGGTATTGAGGTGGGTGTTGAGCATTCTGGGTTTTGAGCACATTTCGTTTTGAGGATTTGTCAGCATGACATTGTCGTATTAAGGTTCTTTTCTAGTAGTATGTAGTGATCATTATGAGGACTATAGAGAGTAATGCTTGTTTTTTTATTACAATGATATTGCCTTAAGGGTATTCGAGGAAAAATCCTTTAGTAGTGGCTTGATGGTCCAGTGGGATGATAGGATAGAATTGTGGTTGGAATGAATGGCAGTAGAGGTGTTATGGTGTTATAATATGATGCTTAGTGCTGATGAGTAGAGCGGTTTAAGGTATGATCCAAATGCGGTTTGGAAATTATGAGTTGTTTGTTGTGTGTTGTCAGGTATGTGATGGATTGTGTGCTAGTTGAGGCGATTGTGGACGGTGTGGTCATTAGAGTCAGTGAGGACAATGTTGCCAGATAGGCACCTTTTTCTTTTGGCGAGTTAGTGGGTTATTCTAATTGAAGTCACGGGTCTTATGTGCACGGTGATCGAGGCAGTGTCACCTTCAAAGGGAAGTGGTGGAACAGGTGATCATGTGTCGTTGTATTTCATAGAGTTTCTCATTGGGAGATTATTGGGTAGGATAGGACGCGGTGTCCAAAGTGCAGTGATGGTTCCTAGTGTTAGTATGTTAAGGACGTTAATGTTTTTATCAGATTGGTTTTGGTTAGCATAGTGTTGTGAAGAAGGGCGTGCGAGGTTTCTGTGTTGATTCTGTAGGACGATCCGATACTGGCGAGGCCGCTTAGATTGGTGTTCGTGGTTCCGTATGTATTTCCAGTTGGTTTTTCTCCTTGTGTATAAGGAGTTCATTTCATCTCAGGTAAGACTGGGTGTCCATGGTTGGACGAATGATGAGTAGTGTGTGACAGGTTGTCAAGTGCATTCATGTGTGAGTCGTCAGTCTCTTGTGAGAGTGGGGTTCGTTACCCTTTTCGTTTGTTCTCGTCCTGACAAGGATGCCGGTTGTCGTGAGTCTTGTTCTAATTAGGAGTTGTGCACATTCATGGGAGGATGGACCTGTGTGTGGTTTGTTATGTTGTTAGGGTTCATAGGTGGAAGTTCCGGTTGAAGGGAGTTAACTTACTCCCTTGGAGGGAGGTGGAGTCATTGGTTTCTGTAGTGGTCGTTTTGAATGTGGTCTTGACTGGTAGTATGTGAGGCACGAGTTATCGGATGGGGATTGTATGTTTTCAGTGTCTAGTACTAGTAGTGGTGGCAAGGAATTTGTCATGAATGAAAGATTAAGAATGATTAAGTGACGTGATGTGACTCATGTATTTGGATGTTTTTATAAGTGACTGATTCTAGCAGTGCCTTGAGGACGAGTGTTAGTATTGTTTGAGTGCTAAGCAGCTAGAAAGTGAATGTGTGATTCTATTGAGGAATAATAAGAACAATTGACTTTGGTCTGAGGTTTTAAACATGAAACAGTCATATTATACGTTTTGAAGAAATAAGAATCGAATTGAATGATGTTATGATGTTGACTACTTGTTGTAGGTAATATGAGGTGACTGGAAAACTTTTAGGTTGATTGATGATTGTGATATTAGCGCTGTGTTACTTTTAACTTGTTATGATTATAGTATGATTGGGATTTTTAAAATAGGTATGTGACTATATAATCGTTGTGATTTTGTAGAAAGATGAATTGATAGTAAATGAATCTAATGGTTGTTGAGGTTACGTATAGTGATGGATGGATAGTGAGTGGATTTCATTATTGATTTGTGTACTGTGTGAGATTGTACTTGAGGTCTAGACCAGAGGATAGGAATGATGTCTGTATTGAGATCGGATCGATGATAAGAATGGCCTGGCCAATCATTTCTTCTGAATTAGTCCCTTTTTAACACAATGTCGGGTCAAAGGTCCATGATTGTTTTGGTTGTTAGGGACAATGAGAGTACGATATTACGGGTTATATCTGGGTGACAGTGTGGATTTAGGTGGTTTGCCTTGGGTGATGAGGCGTGTTAGGTGGAACCAAGTGTCTAATTTGTTTGGTTATTAAAGATCTTATTTTGAGGATTTTGTCCTGAGTACAAGATAGTGCGCTTTACTGATTTGGTGACTAATGTTTATGCAGGCATTGGGAGATTCATTATTTTGTCGTCTCGAGGTTGTTAAGTGTAATGGTTGCAGAATGGTGAGGTTGATGGTTACTTGTACTGATATGTAATGGTGTAGCTATGTGTTAGATAGCGAGTGTTTGGTCTGACGGAGATGTATAGAATTGAGATTTTGCGTCTCCTTTGAGGGTGAGTTGAGGTAAGATGTTGTCTTTTTCGGTGGTCTGATGACTATTCTTATTTTTTTATTTTTTTATTTTTTTATTTTTTTGGGGTTTTTGAGCCTTTCGCAGTAGTGTAGAGTGGACCGATGTCCGTTTTGAGTCAGGCGTAAGGTCTTGTAGGTGTTCTGATGTCGTGAGTGATGAGTACCCTCATAGGGTGGTAAACATCGATTTTATGGCAATGGTTTCTGATTTGCCTGGTGACGTCCGGTGTCAAAGGTGATGATGTTGGTGAGTCCATGGTTTTGGAATTTGGTGAGCTGTTCTTGAGAAGGTGTGTGGCTGTGGGTCTCCTTCTTTAAGGAGGGTAGATTTCGATGACGAAATCTCTTTAAGGATGGTAGATTGTAATATTTTCATTTTTCGTCATCATTTTTTTTGAAATTTTCCGTTTGTGCAACGGCATTTTCGTCTTTTCTCTTTTCGCTTACCGGACATCGTGGGGTGTGCCGGTTATGTTCAAGAGTTGTTTGGGACATTTCACTGAGTTCAAGACTCTTTGAAATGTAAGGGTCGTTATTTTGGCATTTTTTTATTTTTCGGGCCGGACGATTCTGTGTGGACCCGTTACCGGAATTGTTGCATACAGGGATTTTAGTTGGGTTCATTGGCATCCCATACATTTTATTTTATATATTTTATGTGGGTCTCATATAGTTGGTATATATTTATTTGTGTGGTGTAAAGAAAATGAAAAGAGATAAAAAGAAAATAAAAGAAAATGGTGGGGCCCACATGCCTTTTAAAAATAAGGCCAAGAGGCCATTTTGATCACACAATCTTTTTCTCTTTTCTCTCTCCTGCAACCCTTTTCCTCTCTTTCCTTTTCTAGATTTTTCTTTTTTCTTTTTGTCTCAAACTTCCAAATTTGATTTTTCTTTTAATATTTGGAGTTTTTGAGTGCCGTTTGCGGCAAATCAAGAGCGCGGTGAGATCTACGAATTGATCGGAGCAATTTCTTGTTAGGTGTACTTTAGGATTTTGAGATCTAGGGCACAAAATTGGGGGGTTTTGTAATTCTTGAGGTTGGGGTCTCTAATTCTCACGTTCTTGCACCTTTGTGAGTTTTTCTACTATAACTGTGGTCAAACAAGCTTAATTTGAATTAATTGTTTCTTAAATGACTTAATTGTGTATATGAAACATGTAATTATGTGTATGTGTTGATTTACATGGAAAACATGCCTAATTGGTGATTTTCTATGCCTATTGTGTTTGTTAAATTTTTAGAAATTGTTATGAGGAAGCATGTTAATTGTGTAATATTAATTTCCCCAATTCTCATTGTATTGAAAAGGCATGTGATATGCATACAAAGCATTGGGCATGATAAAGGGTAAATGATTTTCTTGAAAATGAAAAAGGGGAATTTTGGGAAGAAATTTTGATTAAAGCATTTTTATGAAAACTCGGTTGCCGCGGAGTCATCAAATGGCCGGTGTGTTAATGTAACCTAGAGGAATTAGGGGAAATGCCCTAGCGTGGTTGAGTTAGTTAGGCCCTAAATGATGCCACAGGGGTACCAAGGGTCAGGGACAGTAGCCAATCCTTCTCTCGTGTCGCTGCGGAGTCACCAAAGGACGGGTTATATTAACAGTTTGTGAAGTGATGGATGTTTTTGAAAAGGGGGAGTGACATACATGACACTGCATTCATGGCATGACATTTGCTTGTTTTGAACTTGAAATGATGTGGTGTTTTCCCCGGCTTATCATGTTCCCGCTCCCTATTGTTCTATTCGTTGTTTGGATTGACGGGGTCACAAGAGGTGTGTCTTAGGTACCGCCTACTGAGCTTTATGTTCATGGCAGATGACAATCCACCATAAGCTTAAGGAAGGACAGAAGTCCATTTTTGACATCTTTTATATAACTACCATTCTTTTATAAAGTCTCAAATCTTGTAAAGTTCGTTCATTTTGCAAACCATGGTTATGTATTGTAATTACAACCCGTAATGGCATTTTGATGAAAATTTGAGACTATGTAAATATTTTGTGTTGAATGTGATAATGATGATGGGCTATCTTGAGGAGGTTGTTGATGTTGTTGTTTTGGGAATGTATTATATATTTTTTTTTGCATTGTTTGTTAGGACAGGTTGGATAAGCCTTGAAGGCTAAGAAAGGCCATTACATTTTTTCATTTAAGCAGGTTGTTGTAGGCCTCTTTTTAGTAGAGGTCATGCCAATTTTTTTTTTGATAATTGGTATTCAGTTTAGGGTCGTTACACTTTATATCCGGATCCGATGTAGGACAAGTCTTCCTTTGTAACACTAGCCCAGTACACAAGACTCCTGCCATTGCAGGATTTTGTGAGGGACATCTGATGTTTACAAACTTATCTTTACGTGGAGGGAAGCTGATTGAGTAAGTCGTTAAATTAGAAGTTTTAAACACAAATCTAGCTAATTGATTCTCATTGGAAAACAAATCAGTGTAACAAGCAAATGACAGGCACAAAGCTGGATATTGTTTAAACACCTTCAGCAAAAGCGAATTATTTCAACACGAAACAAAAGCATCACCAATTCCACAATCCAGAGAGAGCTGGTTCCCATATTATGGGACTAACTTCACAACTTGAAATGCACCAATGAAGAAGCTCCATCAAGCCCTTTAGAGAGGTAGTTAGAAAGATAGTCTTTTACAGATATTTTACGGTAAATTTGGGGGTTTTCCTTTAATATCAACTCCTTGATTGGTCCCTAAACTCTCAAGGAACTTCCTCTCCTGATTTATGGTTTGAAAAAGCATGCCACTAAAATTCTTGGTCCTATATGTCTCGCCCCTACTCTATGATACACACTCTTAACCGTGTCATTACTGATGAGCTGCACAAAACCAGACAGGAAAAAAATAAATTAACGTCACTTGTACCCAATTGCATATTAGAATTTGCATCATCAGTTTCTTGCAAGCAACTTTGACGCATCAAAAAAGTGGCAAATTTAATATACCATAGACTTACCTGCATAAGATCTCCAATGTTTACTATTAGAGTTCCATGCTTGGGAAGAACATTAACCCACTGATTCTCATGAAGACCTTGGAGTCCACCTATCTGGTCTTGTAGAAGTATGGTGAGGGAGTCACTGTCAGTGTGGCTGCTAGTCCCCCAAGTTAATTCTGGTTCAGGACACACAGGGTAGTAATGCCCCAGAAGGAGAAGTTGCTCAGCGCAATCCATGTCTTTCAAATGGTTGAGGTTGAGTCCCAGGGCCTCTGATATTAGTTCAAAGACTGTGTGTCCCAATCTCATCACTTGCTTTGAGTAATCAATCATTATATCACTGCTAGTTATTCAAAATATATCAATCATATAGACAGTTCTAAATGTTCAACATTTTCCACTTGGGAGTATCATTTAATTAGTTCTTGAACAAAAATGCTGCAAAACCACAGGTGCCTTTTGAGGTATATTTTGTGCAGACCAAGGATTTTATAACAATGGTTGCTCATAAAACGGAGGATAATGATTTAGTGATAAGCTTTTTTAGCTGGCTGCTAAATTCTCTTATTCTAAATTGATCATACTTTATAGAATATTAGTTCAATATAAATTTATTTTGAAAAAAGAACAAATGAATCTTGTAAGATTCCAAGAAATTCTTAAATTAAATACTATTTTAGTTCATTTTAAATACACTAATACTAACCAAATTGCATTATATATATATATTATTTTAACAAATTCTTAATTTATTCAGAATTAAGTACTGAATGAGTTACAAACATTATAGTCTTGTCACATACCTGCATAGCGTGGGTAATTCATCATGGTCTGGAATATGAGGAGCCATGACGCAAGAAGTGGTGTCCCTCCAATCCGCAGATGGCGAACTGTACAGATGAAAATCGGACATGTACGACACCTTTTTCTTGACATCCCTTGTGTACAACTTTTTCTTCTCCTCGGTGTCTTGCTCATGAAATCTGCATATCCCATCTATCATCTCATCCAAGACACTCATCAGAATTCCGTGATTGACAACTTGAAAGAACCCCCACTTCCCACAAACCTCCATAATTTCTCCAATGATCTCTCTGCGCTTGGTTGCATCTGTATAGACACCTTCGAGATCAATGACTGGAATGCTGTATTTGGAGTAGTCATTGTAGGTGTCCATAAATATGTTAGCCCACACGGCCCACATAGCTTAGTCAAATAGTCAATAAATTACGCCACAGCATCAACAAACTACTCCACATCAGTAATGATGGCCCATAAATCAAACGGTCAACGGTCAAAGATATGTGCCATTTACCACGTTATCACTATACCTCGAACAGAAGAGCGAAGACTTAAAAACCTGAGTTGGGAGCAGGATTCGGGATTACCTAAGATCTGAGAGGTACTTGGTTTGGTGGCTGAAGTCCAGGGCTCGTCGAGTTAACCCTCGACCTGACTTGCAGAGAGAGAAATACCATTTTAACTCCCGAAATTATCAACCTCATATTAATATAGCTTTATAATTATTTAAGATATTTCTCTCTTTTAATTATTATATTAATTAATATGTGACGTCATCCAATGACATCATCCAACCTCTCACCTGGCTTATATAAGGAAGTGTTCTAAGGCCAAGAGGGGTAGAGAAAAACAGGGTGGAAAACACCTCCTAGACATTGAGAGCTCTATGCCTCTCTCTCAGAGGTTGTCTTTACAACCCTTAAACATTTATCAAGGGAGTCAATGGTGTTTAGTACACTGCCATCCTTTTTCTCTCTCTCAAGTTTGCTTTGGCTTCCACCTTTCTCCGTCCAACTCGGATTCTATTCTGTTGTCTGGATCACTTAGATTTGTGTATGATATCACCATTTATATGTATTTTATTGTGTTACGAAAACGAACCCTCACAATTTGGCGACTTCACTGGGGATATCAACACAAAGTTGAGGGACTCAGGCGACCATCCTTCTACAATACACCTCTAGAGCTTGAGGTTTACTACCTCATTCTGGTGAACTCGTTCTATACTTGAAGCCTCTTCATTTCTTTGCATTTTCGCACTGTCAGCCGCTTTGATTATTATACCCACTTGTTAATCACTTGGGATGACTTTTCTATATTTTTAAGTCTTACACATATATACACACAAAGATATATATATATATATATATATATATATACCTATTTTTTCGTGACCTACAATCAGGTTAATTCAAATATTGATTCGAGTATTCTAGATTATTTTAACCAGCAGTCCATGAAAATTTAGGAGAACCCATGTTCTTATTATTGACTGTAACAAATATCACCCACTGCTATAAGGACTACCTACACCTTATTACAAACTTATATAGTGTTATACATATGTAGATATATATACATGACATTTGTATTTAATTACCTCGCATCTGGTCCTTTTATTTCTATAAATGAAGCATTGTGATAATGATAGTAAAAGTGACCTTTAGCATACAATCTTGCAAAAGATCTGTTGCTTCTGCCTAATATATATATATTATTAATGGTCCCATCAGGAAGCATTATCTCTTTTCTTGATAGTTTTTCTACCCATTTTTCAAGTCTACTTACTAGACTTTTTTATAATACTTCGAATTTATCTTCAAAAGATACGCCAGATGTAACAATTCACAGGAATGGGGTCACTTAGCCTTTCACATCTTTGTCAGATGCTTTTCGTTTCACTTTTTCAGCCCACATTCATTTAGACAATAGGTTCAACTCTATACGCTGCCATGAGTTGGTCGGCTACACAATCTTCAAAAATTTATTTGACAAAATAATGCTGACTTCTCTCAATAAATTACATGTCCCAAGGCATGCTCAGCATCAATGAGATGAATTTTCGAAAAAAAAAAAAAAAATCTCTCACCAACCTTGAATCTTACAACTTCATTGTACAATACACTCATTTCACCTAAGAAACTGTATCACGCAAACGCAACACCTAATAGTGATTATACTAATCAAATATTGGTCAAGTCAGCATACCAGGCTACAAGATTTACATACTCTACAAGATTTACGCATCCCCCATATGTGTGTATATATATATATATATATGGTGTGTGACCTTCACACGGCATAATTTCTGTCACAGATCTTTTATATCTTTTTAAAAGGATTACACATCTACCCATGTAAAATCATACCAATCTTACTTTCTTTCTTAACGGCTACCCACCTTGCTCGCCCAGGGCCTTGCTTGCCCTGACTTGTAGCGATGGGTCTTCCTTAACTATATGAAATTCGGAACTATTGCCTTAGCTGTAAGTAAGCTATGAATTTCAGGTTTTCAAGGGTAAGTGTAAGGTCAATAATTGGACTCCCTCTCATGTGAGTTCTAAGCCAAAGGTCCGCTCCAGTGATCCCTCCAAAAGTTCTTCATAGCGTTTGCTCCTCTACTTTGAGCTAACAGTAAATCTTGATATTTACGTATTGTTAAAAGGTACATATATATGCTAGACTGCATGTACCATGAACACAACACTTCGAGTGCTTGTAATTGGTTTTCGAGACTCTTTCGTATGGATTGACAACTTCCTTTGAGTCCCCCGAATTAATTTTGCCCATTGTGACTCCTCGCTCCCACGCACGAGCACCCCAGCGTGCACACCGGCGTGCACGTGGGCATTGTATGCTAAAAAATGAACGTTTTATATTCACCTTGTCGTGCTCTATCTTTCCCCCTTATTAGAATTCATTTTTAGCCATTTTTTGAGCTCTTTTCTTTAGACTTGTGTTCTGTGCATGCCTAGATAATCTCTAGGATTTAATCGAATATTAATTGGACTTGTTTGAATGTTAATTCAGAATATAAACTTTATTTTTGTGATTGTTAACTGAAGTCCCTCTAAGCTATATTAACACTCCGGCCCTTTAATACCCCCGCGGCGACCGAATTTTTCACAAAACACTTTTCATCAAAACACTTTCCCCAAAATTTCCCTTTTTTCGTATCAAGACAATTCTTCCCTTTTTCATGCCCAATATCAATGCATGAATATAACAATATCATGTCTACGCCTATCATTCTATAATCACTGTGAAATGGAAGCACAATGGTTTTTTTTTGGTAATGTTGAACATCTGAAGATGCTTGGTTGTAAAGATGGGACTTAAGGGAAAGGCAGTGCAATGCATTTATTTAATTTTGATTTTTGTATGTCATGAACAAGTGCCCTATGCTCTGATTTATTTTAACTTTTGTATGTCATGAACAAGTGCGATATGTGTCTAACCCAATGCTAGGCTGCATGTACCATGGACACACCACTTGATTTGTCTAACTCACTGGCACCCTATTACATAATAGATTTGACTCGCTCTCTCTTCGCACTATTATGTATGTCGTTCATACCATGCGCGGTATGTAAACCCAATTTTATTTATTTATTTTTTTTACATTACAAAGCAAACGCGATCTAAGAATATGACTGCCCGCGCGCCCGCCTCGCTTGGACTCTCGAGCATCTAAACTGTTAACTGGGCCTCGATTTCATACCGCCACTTCATGCACCTTGTCCCATCAATTTCATACTGCGAGTCCCGTCGATTCCAAAACACCATCTCTCGGTTTTGCGCAAAACTTTTGTATCGACGAATACCATTGATTTTGTCTTAAGTCCATCGCCTTCGTCGCACCTGGTTGATCGACGACCATGCTCATTGATTTCACCCATGCCTGTTGGATAGCTAACCATAAAGACGGGGCTGGACAGATACAGGTTTCGCCGATCGCTGTCGAAGAACTCGCCGTCACGACTTCACACCTCGACTTCACACCACGACTTCGCACCTCGACTTCACACCACGACTTCACACCTCGACTTCACACCACGACTTCACGATTTCACACCTCGACGACTTCATACCGCGACTTCACGATTTCACACCTCGACTTCAGACTGCGACTTCACGATTTCATACCTCAACTTCACACCGCAACTTCATATCGATTTCATACAACGACTTCATCGCTCGATTTTGTCCAAAGCCCATCGTCTTCGTCGCATCCGTTTAATCGACAACCAGGTTTGACGATTTCGCCCATGCCTGTTGGATGGTTGAACACAAGGACGGGCTGGACGGTTACAAGTTTCGCCGGTCGCCGTCATCGATGAGTTTGTTGCTACAAACCAGCTTGTCCGAGACCCATCATTCTCGATAAACCGGTTTGGATTGACGACCATGCTCGTTGAATTCGCCCGCACCGGTTGGATAACTAGACACAAGGACGGGTCCAGACAGGTACAGGCTCGCCGAGCGCCGTCTATTTTAGCCTGCCGTTGATGAGCTCCTCAATCACCATCGCCGACAGACCACCGGCCCGGCCCCCGTTTTGTTCACCATTGTTCTCTGCCACTTATTTGGCGGTTATCCATCCGCGTCCTTGGGTGGCATTGTAACTGAGCCTGTCGATCTCTGAAGCCGTCGATTTTGTGCCAATTTGTCGACCACTTCATTGTCAACGGCACCGGTCGATTTCGTACACGAAACCCGTCAATTTCATTCAACCATTCTTGTCAACAAAACTCGTCGAATTCAGACCACCAGTTTGGTCGACTCTCACAACCAGCCTTGACTGTGCATCTTCCTCTATCCTTCACTGGTGGTGCTTCATCGAACATCAATCAAAACATCCCATTGTTTTTGCAAACCCAGAAGTCAACACTGCCCATGACATAATCAAAGTATTACACACAAATAGAAAATTCTGCATCTGCTGCACACGCACTCTAACACATTTATGGGCACGTAGATCTCCGGCGAAGTTGTACCCATTTGGATTGATGACCTCGACCCTATCTTTTACTGGCTCGCACACATCGTTGCCACCTCGCATTTTAAAATTTTTGGGATGTCACTCTACACTGTTCATTTTATTATATAATGCAGTCTTATTGACTCGAGGGGACAACTCGATGATTGGCTCATTAGCTGTCATTTCGACAGCCATTAAGGTGCGACTTGCAGGTCGAGATTCAAATTGGGGTACGTAAAGGCTCAATGCAGTCTTATTGACTCGAGGGGACAACTCGATGATTGGCTCATTAGCTGTCATTTCGACAGGCATTAAGGTGCGACTCGCAGGTCGAGATCCAAATTGGGATACGTAAAGGCTCAAAAAGCCTTTACGTATCCCAATTTGGATCTCGACCTGCGAGTCGCACCTTAATGCCTGTC